TGACATGAGCAAAAAGCAAATTCACGCTAGCCATCGGCCGCGAGAGGGGACTGTACCACGAGATTTCCACATTTGGCCCCAAAACTAAGCAAGAACAACTCCATTTAAAAAAGCAACCTGCCACCCAAGCACACAGTGATCCTCCGCGAAATCAAATGCAGATGTCGCCGTGTAAATCTTGCGATTGTATTCACACCAGAGGTCTGCGTCTCCCATGCATTGGCAGCTGCGCGGACTGGAAGACTCGAAGTTACCTTGTCGCTGGGAATAGGCTTGCCGAAGCGAAAAAGCAGCAAACGCTGCGCTCTCTCCATCACCGTCTACGGTACAGGAAGAATACACCTGATACCATCCGCATGATCGTGGTACTGACAACGATCCTTGACCCACGGCCAGTCTCCTGGCTCTTCCAATGCGGGACCCTCCTTAAGCATGATGATCTTCACCAGCACATCTCTGAAGAACTCCCTCGGCGCATCATCCATATCAGGCCCCCTATCATTTCCCACGAACCAGCTCCTCTCATACGCATACGCGTAGAAGTCAACCAAAAGTCGGCGCAGCGGCGACTCCTCAGTTGTGTTGTCGTAAATGAAAGAAGCCAGCGCACATGGGTAGTGGTTCGTCTCACGCACACGCTCGATGATGGCGTCGATTGCGGCGTTCTTGAAGGTCGAATCCAACAGTTTGTCTCCGAGAAACCAGGCGCATGCGAGCACCGTGAGGGTCGTGTGCTCGGGGTACTCTTCTTCCTCGGCACTGCTGCTCAAGTTGATGAGTTCGCCCGTGTAGAGCCACTTCACGTATAGCTCGAAGATCTCTGGGTAATCTTCAGGAAGTCTGACAACGCTTTCCTGGCTTTCTTTCCAGAACCCACTACATGCGGCATTGAAGAAAGGCGAGAAGGCGCAGATGAGGTTGCGGTGGATGAAAAATGAACGGGAATTCTCTCTCTGGCCGACTATGACAACGATGGTGTTTCCGGTGATTCTGGTGCTGTCAGCATAATGTGAACAAACAAGCTGAAGAATTTCATACAACACGGCGCGCTGGATGAGTGCCTTAATCTTGTCGTCAAAAATGATACTCTTCATGTTTGTTACAGTGGTCGTTGTCGGAGACAAGATCCGCAGGCTACAAGGACTGTAACATGTCAGTGCGAGTCGGTGCCAGAAGCAGTTGGCTTACACGTGTTTCATGTTCTGGAGAATGTATCGCAATGGAGACTGAGGTAGTAGCGGAAATTTTAAAAACTGTGTCTTCTCGCTTTGCGCAAATAGAAATTAGTTTGCTACTGTGCTGCGTTGTGTGCTGCACTGTGACGCGCTGATAACGCTTGTTATAGCTCACCTGCGCAAAGGAGTATCCAGGGAGAGCTTGAGCCCTTGTACCGTCTTGTAAATACTCTAGAACCTACGTATACACGCGTTTGCGCACCTTTGACCTTGCTGCTTTGAAAAATACTCCCGCATGGTCATTAAAACAAGGGGATAAAGAGAGTCATTGTATAATCCGGTCTAGATGCTATTCCATTGTCCTTTTTACACGAGCAGGATCCCATGCGCCAAGAGTCCCCAAAAATGCATCAGGTGGTAGGCTCCAAGTAAACATTCCTTCTGCTATTTGCCTTGCTCGTTTGGGCGAAACAAAACAAACAGTCCTGTAATTCTCTTCCCACTCTTTCCACGTATTTCTTACCTCGCCCCCTCCACTCTTGAAAAAAAAAAGACATATTTCTGACCCTGATCCATGCGTCGTCTATTTAGCGGAGCTTCTACAAGAATTAGGGCTAGAAAAGAGGCCAGTTAATATTGACGCGACTCGTAGGTATCCGACACGGAAATGTCCCGTACGTTCGTTCGTTTCCTGCGTTTGTCTCGTACCTTAAAAGTCACAGACGTGGATTACCAATAAGCTGGATATGTAGCACAAAGAGGGACGCCCGAACGGCCGGTTTAATTAGAAAGGGATGTAACTGCTCCTTATCGTGAACGTGCGTCCTGCTCCTGGATGCCCCTTGCTTGATACGAAATCTTTTGCCAATGTATATGAAACCCCAACAAAGTTGAGTTAACTGATGAGCCATCCGTGTGAGGGATAAACCATTTGAAGCCTCAAGTACGAATGTGTGTTTTCTAATGACGCCGCAGTCGAAGTTCTGATCCAACCCTCATGGCTCAGCCCATCCTCCCGGACTGTACTTCTGGCCTCCCTGATGACAATTGCATGGGAATGCTCCCGCAAACACTCGGGGTATACATTGGGAGCATCTTTGAGCAGAAATGTTGTGCCCTTGCTTCCGTACTGGGGCCCTTGGCTTGCAGCGAAGAAACAAGTGAGATACGAGAACGCCACAAGCAAATTCGCGGACACATTGAACTCTGACAAGGATAATGGTGGCTTAATTACCTATTCTACCAGTGTCAGTTTGCAGTGTCAATGAGCTTGTCTGTATACTGGCAAATTGAGCAATTAAAACAGTCAGCTCGTTGGGCGAAATGGTAGCTGAACCGCTTGCATCTGCAAACGAGGCAGACCCAGCAGTATCGGGCGTTCTTCACATATGGCTAGTTGTCCTTGCTGGTTTGTTAACTTCTTCATATCGCGTTTTTGTTTGTATTGTTGCGCCAATGCGTTGGAGTGTGAGGCACAAACGGCGAGGCACACATTTCTTGCCAGGGGGACGCCACGGGTACGCCCTGGCACCTCAAATGAACTCTGAGGAGTTGATAATGAGGTATTATGCATGCGACTTGGATTTTGTGACGTGGAACAGTAAGACGCGGAAGCTTCCCCTGGTCGTCATGGTGTCAATCCTTAGGTCAGCGAGTACCTCGCCCCGGTACTCGACCGCCAAATACCCCACGAGGGCCAGATCCAGGGTAAGCCTGCTTGCCCGCCCGCATGCCTGCACTGAGCCCGTACCCGTTAGCACCAGCTCCAGGGAACGCATTCAGGGTCAAGTTTCCGAGAGGCTGTCGAGTCATCGGTGTGCCATGTACGCTTCCGTGGCCCACTGGATGGTAGACCTGACCATTCGCCTCTCCAAGACGAGTGCGATGCTGGGGTATGCCATTGATTGGACTGTTGTCTGCGGAATTGTCAGCAGGAGGCAGGTGCAAGATAATGCCACCACGTACGATGACTAAATAGACGGCCACTGGGTCCTTGGCCACCGATCATGGTGTCATTGCTCCGGTTTCGGCTGCCGAACCGCACAGCATTCCGATCATGTGGTAGCTTTGGATGCCCTCCTCCCGAGCCAGTGAATTGGTCCCCGGTAGCTGACTGCAAGGTTGCTTCAGCATCGTCGGATGCGGCAGAAGCAACCTGACCGGCGAGAACCTGTGCCTTGAGTTGTGTATAGACCTTGTGGAGGTGCGCCTGAGTCTTTGCCTTCTCTCGATATGCGTCTGCCATCTTGTGCATTTCGTCATCAAGCCGCCGTTGCTCTTGCTGCGCCACTGCCTTAGTTAGTATGGCCATAACGCTGGGTCGTGAGCAACCGTACCGTGGAGCTTGTCTCGTAGACCGGCGATCTCGGCATTGGCATCGTGGACCACCTTATCCATCTGCGCGTTCAGAATGGTATACTTCTCAGTCAGGCTCTTTGCGAGGTATTCTTGATACATTCTGGCTCCCTGGTCAGTAAAGTCCCACAGACTTTGGCAGGTCACTGACATTTCCTGAGAGGTCTGGTAGCTGTAAAACGCCAGAGCCCTTCCAGCACACTCCATGATGATGGTCGGACTTAAGCCACTGAGAACGCTAGTCTTGTAGTCCTCGGTAGGATCCAGGCGGGTCTCAACAGCGTCGTCTGGATTCGTCAAGGGAGTATCGCAGGCAGGGCATGCGCGGACGGCGCTATCCGCTCTGGAAAGGCCAAGCTCGCTTGAGCAGGTGACGCAAAAGACATGGCTACGTATGGGTTAAGACAAAGGAGCCTCAGTGATGTTGAAATGCTCACCTGCAGGTGGTGACGACTGCTCTATCAGGGAGCTGCGTACGGCATTTAAGAGAGTTGCAGCGAAGCGTGAAATCCATTGGAGATGAGAAGCAAAATGCAGGCCACAACAGAGTTAGAGAGAGGGAGGAATTTTGGAGCGTCCGGCGTGGAACAGTCACAGAGTTCAGAAAGAGCAGGCACGCCAGCCGGAAGCCGTGACGCCGACTTCCCGCCCGACGATATTGCCGGTCCAGCTTCCATGTCTGAACCTAGGTAACCCTGATTCTCGCCTTCGCGTCCTTACGAGTGAAACTCCCAGACACTCCTCCAAAGTCAGGCGTGAGATAGAGTAGAGAGAGCGATGAAGTCAGATTTAGGTGTCGTGCCTGACACAGAGCACTAAGCCCCATCCGTGCCCGCCTGCCCTTTGGTGTCAGCCCTACGCCTCCCCCGTCGGCGCCGTTTCTCCAAATCGCATTTCTCCTCCGACGGCGTCGCCGCGCATCCACCTCCTCCCGATCCTCTCTCCCAATTCGCCATGAATCCCTCGAACCCATCCTCCGCCGACGCCTCGCGCAGCAACACGCCCAATCCCGCCGCCGCCTCAGCTTTGGACGTCGCGAACTCGCGCTTCACGTCACAGGCCTCGACGGCAGAGGACCTGCTCAAGTCGCAGACGGTCGGCCTGGTCCACCTTTCCGACTTCCGCAAGCGCCGCGCCGAGGCGCTCGACCTCAAGGATCGTGAGCGACAAGAACAAGCGCTGGGGTCAGGCCGGGGCGGCTCAACATCTGGTGCGAGCACGCCTGCGGATGGGTAAGTTCGATCGCTTTGGGTGCCGTTGGAACGCCGAGCTAATTGTCAAAGTACAGAGCATCGACGCCGCGGCCCGCTAAGAAGAAGAAGAAGAATGTCGCAAAGGGGAAGCTGTCGTTCGGGCAAGACGATGACGACGAGGGAGCAGCTTCGGGCGCGTCGACAGCAGCGGCTGCAACGCCGCGGGATGGCACACCGGATAACAATGGAGCGTCAGAAAAGGACAAGGATGCTGCTGCTGTCCCGAAGAAGAAGCTCGGCGCAAACAGCAACGTCGCTTTCAAACCGAAAGTTATGACGAAGTCTGCCCTATTGCGGGAAGCACAGCAGAGGGAGCAGCTGCGGAAGGAGTTCTTGATCATGCAAGAGGCGGTCAAGGCGACCGACTTTGTGATCCCGTTCGTCTTCTACGATGGTACCAACATCCCGGGTGGGAGGTGCAAAATTAGGAAGGGCGAGCATGTCTGGCTCTTCCTTGACAGAGCGAGGAAGGTGGGTGCTGAGCTCGGCGTTGGTGGCGACAAGAGCAAACGGGAATGGGCTCGCGTCGGTGTCGATGATCTGATGCTGGTCCGCGGAGAGATCATCATTCCGCATGTAAGTGTTGAAGCATCTCGCATGCACCTGCACGTATACTGACAGCCCCAGCATTACGACTTCTACTACTTCATGGTCAACAAGACCATTGGCTTTGACGGACCTATCTTCGGACACTCGGCGCAACCCACATCCGCAACACCTCTCCCATCCAAAGACGAGGACATTGATCCCGCAGCATTCAACCCCCTCGAAAGACAGGAAAAGAAGAAGGACCAGCGTGTCACCGAAGAGGACGGGCCGCTAGAAGGATACAACGATGACCCTACGCTTACAAAGGTTGTAGATCGACGTTGGTACGAGCGGAATAAGCATATCTTTCCGGCGAGCATATGGGAAGAGTTCGACCCCAACAAGGATTATAGCAAGGGTGTTCGCAAAGATGCCCAAGGAAATTCTTTCTTCTTTAGTTGATCCGTGGAGCACATGGGGCTGAAGGTTTCTGGGCGTAATTAGACTGCGTGGATGGAGCACTGGAACCGATTCTTCAGAGGCTTTTGAAAAAAAAAAAAGAAAATAAGCAAGGGCGATTACGGCATATTCGCGTGGTCTTGATATTGCCAGGAAAAGGTGCTGTACTATTCAAAATAGAAATTCATAGAGCAATACCGCCGGACGGAAAAGCCCTGGAATGAAGAACTTTGCCTTTCTCCTCAACTGACCCATGATAACAAAAACCACCTTGACGGGAACCTAGAAGTCAACAGGGTACAGCGGGCTTCGTCCGCGCCGGGACGGAAGTGAATTCCGCATGTGGCCTTGGCATGACGCAAACCGAGATTTCACCGCCTGGCAGAAATGTCCCGCGGCACCACGTCACCCCCGCGGCCGCCTCCCCACACCATCACAACCATTCGAAAAGCACTACAGACAATGGCCTCGTCCGCAAATCCGAACACCTCAGTTGCGACGCCCACAGCTGACGAGCTCGCCGCGTTCGCCAGTGATCCCATCTTCAGCCCGGAGGAAGAAGCGGTACGCTACACTTTCTCTCTTCTCCCTTTCACCACCACAACCTTTACAGACGCTTGCTAAAATAATGACAGTCCCTCCTGGCTTCTGCAAACGAGCAAAAAAGCCACGCGAACTCACTCTTCACCTCGGGTGCCTACAGCGACGCCATTTCCGCATACGGCCGTGCGCTGGCCAGCGTGCCGAACTACTTGGATTATGAGGTCGCAGTTCTTAGGGCGAATGTCGCGGCATGCCACGTAAAACTCGAGGAGTGGAAGGAGGCGGTGGATGCGGCGACGGAATGTTTGGAGAGATTAGAGGGGTTGGGTGGAGATGAGGAAGCGAATGGTGCTGGAAAAGGTGCAAAGAAAGATACAGCCAAGGGTGGGAATAACGGCCAGGGCCGGGACAAGACCAAGGCAAACGCAGATATCAGCGGTGTGGTGGAGGAGCTGTCAGACAGCGACGAGGAGGCGGCACCCTCGTTCGCAGAGAAGAAGGGCAACGATGCAGCAGCAAAAGACTCTCAAGAAGCACAGCAGAAAGAAGAGGAAAAGAACAAAGCAGCCGACGATGCCGCCGCCCTTGACCGGCGCCTGTCCCACCTCAACCGCCTTTCGCACACCACGACCGACGTCCGCAAGCTGCGCACCAAAGCGCTGCTGCGCCGCGCGAAGGCGCGCGCCTCGCTGGGATCCTGGTCCGACTTGCAGGGCGCCGACGACGACTACCGCGCCGCCGCCGCCACGCCTGGCGGCCTTGCCCCCCTCGACAAGAAGGCCGTGGACCAAGCGCTGCGCGAGCTGCCGGCCCGGCTGGATGCAGCAAAGCAGAAGGAGATTGGTGAGATGATGGGGAAGCTTAAGTCCCTAGGCAATGGCCTGTTGAAGCCGTTTGGGCTGAGTACGGATAATTTCAATTTCGTCAAGGACGAGAAGACCGGAGGGTATTCTGTGCAGATGAACTAGCGTGCAGAAAATACGAGACGGAGGCGAAGGGAAAGAATTGTAAGAATGAAATAGATTATACTTCGCTCAAGCTGCCTAGACGTAAAAGGCATGATTAAAATCCTTGGGGTTCTGTTGGTCTAGCCCGCGCATCGCATAACAGACCGCTATTGTGGTGAAAACCACCGTGGAAAAATTGTGGGAAAGATCAATCGTCTGTTTCATCTCAAGTTCAGCTCTCAACTATTTACCGAGAAATCAGCCCGCGTTCGATATACGTGCAAAAAAAGTCTCATGTATTTGATATGCCACATGGCCAAGTCACGCCATATCTATCGCTGATGCCAGAAAGCGTGATCTATGTATGCCCTTTGGTTCCCTTTCTCTTCTCTCTGTATCTCCTCGCTACCCAGCTTCACTCTAGACAACTTCGACCTGTCAACGTCTCTCCCTCCTCTTCTACACCTTCATACAACCTCGATTCCAAACCTCTCATACGGAAACCCGACCAAGGACTCCAGGTACACCCCCCAGCCGTCCTCAATCTCGCCCACCCTTCCGCTCCTCTCATCATCCAACCCCTTATGCTCGCCCGTCCTCCCTGCAAGCACCTCCTCCTCCCTGCCCCTATACTCTTCCCTGAGACCCGGGTGGGGGCACCAAACCACCTGCATGCCAGCCCTCCGCCCGGCCTCGACGCCTGGCACGCTATCCTCGAACACCAAGCACTCCTCCGGCTTCACCAGATCCTCGTCCCGCGCACCCTCGCGCTTCAGCTTCGCGTTGATCGTGTCGAGGGCGAGCAGGTAGATGTCCGGCAGTGGCTTCCCGCGGCCGCGCTCGATGCGCTTGTCGTCGCCGAGCACCCTGTTCTCGTCCGGGAAGACGGCGAACACGTCGCCCAGGTGCGCCGTCTTGAGCGCGTAGTTGCCCGCGTGGCTGCTGGTCGCCAGCGCGATGTGCACCCTCTTCTTGTCCACCCCAGAACCAGCACCAGCGCTGCCAGTCTTCTTCGCCAATGTATCCAACAGCTCCCTCACGCCCGGCAGCGGCTGCGCCTTGGGGAAATGCTCGCGCTGCAGCTTGCTCTGCTTCTCCATAAACTCGTCGTGCGCGATTGGCAGCTTCGCCCACTCGTGGAAGACGCGGGCCGCCTCGGGGCCGGGCCGTCCTTGCATCTGCGCCTTGATGGACCAGGGCAGGTCGGGCTTGCCGAACTCGCGCAGCACCGTGTTGGTGCAGATCGTGTAGAGATCCTCGCTGTCGATCAATAGACCGTCCATGTCGAATAGACAGGCGCGAACGGCGGGGAGTTTTCTGCTGCGGTTTTCGCTGGTCAATCATTTTGGTCGCTCGACAATGAACAAGGTGACCGTGGCGTGAGTCAGAGGAGAGAGTTCCGGGGTCCAGCTTTGGGTTGATTGGAAGGCTCTGCAGAGGCGATCGCCTGAGTATATCGTACGTACTTGGTTTGATTGGCCATGGTGGGGGAGAATGCAATGTGGAGCGGAACTGTCTGCTTGGACACGAGATTGTTGGAGGAGGGTGATGCGGAGTCAAAGACGCGCCGCGACGTGGGGTTGGATCTGGCGGGGCTGCCCTGACATGACTCAAGCACGACACACACCCCAGCTACCCGGCATCCCCTCCCCCACGGATCCCTGCAGCACATCAACCAGAGCAGCAAAACACCCATTTCTCATAGACTCTCATTGCCATCTATATTGATCGAAACTGACGATGTCGTATCATACATCTATCCATGATCGCGTGTACCCGTGATACTGCGTAAAACAAGAGAGAGAGTGAGAGCGCAAGCAAGCAAGAACAAAAAGCGAAACCCCATGAGACCGTGAATGAGTCCACCACTCCACGCCACGCACGCCTCGCTGACTGGAAGCAAACAAGCAAAACTGTCATGCCTGGGGGCCGTGGCGGGTATCCAGGATGATGCCAGAGAGATAGAAGAGAGCCACGCCACGCCACGCCGAAGCCGCAAAGCCATAGCAGCCCATCAACGCTCACTCCTTTTCTAAAGCAGATCCTCCAGTAAAGACGCCGATACTCTCCGTGAAATGCCCGCTGAGAACGACAAGGGAAATAAAGAAAATGCACGAACACAATCAAGAATGGAAATATTAGAGCAACGCTGAAGCGCAGGGGACATCACGGCACGAGGCGACCGGTTCCCTCCACAATGCCGTTGTGGACCAGGATCTTGCTTACGTAAAAGCACTCCCACTCGCGCGGGTCGTTTCCAATGAAGACGGCGTTGCGTCTCTCGGCGAGGTACATCGGAGTGATCTTGACCTCGGCAAACCACTCCTTGGCAAGCGCATCCGACTTGGGGTTGATCGTGGCATTGGTCGTCTGATTGTTTGTCATGTTATCGATCGGAACCACAATGTTGGTAATGGGCTCGGTGGTCGTTTTCGGAGGGACGCCGCGCATTTTCAGCAACATGTGGAGAATGTCGCTGAACCGCTCGCCCTGCTGGCTGTAGGATGCCGGGGGTTTGTCGAGGGGCCATCGGTTCGGATGCGGTTGTGAGAAGAGTGCATTGGCAGCATCAGTTGCTGCCTGCGCGGTGGACTGCATCGACGGGCTGGTCTCCTGCGGCGGCGGAGCATCCGGCATGGGCACATTGTTGTCCACATTGTTCTGAGCGTTCTCCGCAGCGCTCGCGGCGGCATTAGCAGCGTTGATGCTCCTCTCAAGCTCCGTCTTCAAATCCGGGGGTGGCACGCTGTAATTCCGAGCTGGGACTTGGATCGGATTCTCCCACCTCTTGAACAGCCAACACATGCGCTCAACACAGGCCAGGAGGATCATGGAGACCAGGAAAGTCTCAAAGGGGTTGGCTTGTTGGCGCTGGAGGAGGCGGCGCTCCAAATCGTTCATGACGAACTTGCTGAGATTGGCAGCTCTCTTCTCCATTGCACCCAGTATCTGCGCATCGATAAGCCGGTAGGCCTCCGAGTGAGTTGCCAGTTCGATGGGGAAGCGAGACGCTTGAGGAACTGACTCGAGGTCTTGCGGAGTCATGATGACAGGGTCCTTGAAGGGAGGTTGAGTGTGATTGAAAAAAAGCTGAAACTTCAGGCTGGGCTCGGCAAGGATCCTGGTGGCAACCCACAGCTCCAGCACCTTTGACAACAAGCTTTCTTTATTTTCAATCCCTTCCTTGTTCTCGACGCTCAGGCGGTGTGCCATCAAGAGAGTAGGTTTCATGAACGGTGACGTCTCTGCCTCGTAGATGGTTGGGCCGATTCTCTTCATGTAGGACTCGAGCTTGCCACCGATGTCCTCGACGTCAGGATCGATGATCTCTATGTCTTGCATGCTTTCCATGGACAGGCCTGAAGCAACCAGTTGCGGATCGATGGGCCCGTTCACCCCACGGAGACCCTTCAGTGTCGTGAAGGTTGTGTACATCGTGGGCTCGATATCCAACAGCCGTGCCTCGATCCTTCCAGGGACGTGTTCGAAGTGCATGTTCGCCTTGGCAGAGCTGATCGAGTGGAATGCCAAGACAGAGTGAAGTCCTGCCGAATAAAGGTTGAACTCTTCTGCAATGCGCGTGCGGATGCAGGGGTGCTTCCACAGTCGCGCGCTCTCGACGTTCTGACAGGTGCTACAAGGGCTCTCGCCAGAACACTGGGAAGAAATTAATAATCGAGGAGGATGGATGCAAAATGAGAGCGTCATACCGGCTTTTTCAACATGCGGCACCTGATGCACGCACCCCGCTTTCTAACCTCCTGGACCTCTTTGCGTCGAGAGTCTGAAAACCTGCCTCTGACCTTTGGCTTTGCTGGCTTCGGGTTCATGCTGAAGTCGGTAGTAAAATGGGCTTGCTGGCCGTTTGGATTGATCGCGATGGGCCTGTGGTAGGTGGAAGAAGCAGCATTGGGTGAGGGGCTGTGAGGTTCCGGGTGGTCACGGGTGGCGTCTTGAAGTTGTAATACTGGGTCGATGGAAGCCCAAATGCCAGTGCGTCCGGTCTGGGGGTTGTAGGCGGCTTCGCCTGCGCTGCCATGCTGCTCCATGGAGTGGTTCGCATTCGGCATGTTGGCGCGCAGCTCTTCAGCAGCCGACGCAGCCATAACCAAGGGTGAAGGGTGAGGGTGTGTTGTGGCGACTCCAGTGGTGGAAGCAGGTGGGAGGGTGGAGGCGGGCGGCGTGGATGATGCTGCCGGTATGGGTGTGCCCACGGAATGAGGCGAACCGGTGGTAAGGTGGTCGTACTGGTAGATGGATTGCGGCTGTTGTCCGCCAGACGGGTCGGTATTATGTACTGTTGACAGCAAAGTCAGCATTTTCACTTAGCACTGAAGGGAGTTGCTCAAAGCATTCGCCCAAATAGGCATGCAGCTACAATGGCGAGCTTGGCGAATCGAGAGATGATTGGCCGGGCAGCCTCGCGGGCGGGTGGGAGGAGAGTGGGATTAACGCACTTGGTGCATCTACTGCGGTACCATTGGGGTCGGCGGGGGGCTTGGGGTCGTGGTCCTGCACTAGAAAGTCCTCATACACAGGGCCGGGGTTTTGCATAGCATCGTCGCGCATAGAGCCTCGGCGCTCGGGGAGTTGGTCCGGATCGGGCGTGGGAATGCGCTGGCCGGAGAGATCCAGGCGCTGGCGCGACACTTCGGCGAGAGCCTCGAGGCGTGACATGCCCGCCTTGGGCGCGGCGTAGGGTAATGTCATGGGGTTGGTTGCGCCATGCTTCTGGGGAGCAGTCACTTGGTGTGCAGGCCCCTGGGCGGACGAGGACGACTGCGGCGGCGGCAGATCGGGGACGGGAAGGTCATGGAATTGTAGGATGGCGCGCTGGCGATCCTGGGCCGTGAGGGCGGGACACTTCTTCACGAGGTGCGCGGTCAGCGTGTCGATGCGGCCCTTGGGAAACTGCGGTGAGAGTCAGTGTGGGTGTGGAGTAAGCGTAGGTCGCGCGGAGGAAGCGGTGAGAGGCGCTGGAGGTGGGTGCGCGCGTCGGGGCGAGGCACACCAACCTTCTCGCCGCAGGAGCGACAGGTGTGCTGGTAGCGGTTGCTGGCATCCTCGAGCTTGGGTCCGCGCTCAAAGAACTCGAGGATGAGCTGATTCGGCTTGCGGCCCATGGCAGGCAGAGCAGGCTCGCCGAGAGACGGGCGGCGGAGGGCTGTGGGACGGCCTGGCTTCTGCCGGAGGTTCGATGGCGGTCGGGAAGGCGGAAGGCGACGAAGGGAGAAGCGCCGCCTCCTCTCGCTTTGCTGCCGCTGACTAAGCCCCAGGCACGGCCCGACTCCGACGGCCGTGCGACCCTGACTCGCTGCGCGCCGCGACCAGCTCGCCCACCGCCCGCCCGCGCTGGGGGAGACGGGCGCGAAAGGGGATGACGATGCAGCGCGGCGCCAGGAACGAGGATGGCTGCACCCACGCGCACCGCCCGCGCAAAACGAAGAAGAAACGGCGTCCGCAGACTCGACGCGGCCCTCGACTGCTGCCGGAGCACACTATCGCTCGCGAGGCACGCGCTCCGAACCGCGGCGCCGCGCTTCCGAACGGCCAACGGCGCCCGCGCTCGTGCTCCAGCCCCGGAGCGGCTCCCACCACGGCGCCAGGCACCGCACGTCTCCTGAGTAACACAGTCCAGATGCGTGCTCGGGTTAGGTTGTATGCGTTGTTCGCGATCCAAGTACTAAAAACTACACCAGTCTTCGCACAACCATTCAGAATCCGTCGTCATGCCGTCGTCCAAGCTTCCCGCTTCCGCCATATCCCGCCGCCAGCGCCGCGTTCCGCCTCGCGCCCCGTGTGCATGTGTGTGTACGTGAGTGTGGTGAACCACCAGCCGTTGCGCCTTGAACGCCCCTCCCTGCAAAACCCTCCCAGGGAGCCCGTTGCAGTAATTCCCCAATATCCCCGAGAATGTGATAATCTTTTTACCGTTTCATACACAGCGTCGTCCGCCAATGACCCGCCTGAAATTACGCCTGCCCTTCCCACCTGAGCCCACCGCCAGATGATGCCTTTTCCCGCTCCATCCTCTCAATACGCTCCCGCTCTTTTTCCCGCTCCCCGGCCTTCTTTCCCTGTGCTTTCTTCCTCCAAGTCAGCCCCAGCGTCGCCGAGTCCACGACCGCGTTCGTCGTCTCCTCTTCAAACCTCTCGCTCCCCAACGAGATGATCTTGAGAGCGTTGCCGAACCCGACAGCCACGCTCTTCTTGCCAATCCGTACGATCGGCCCCGGCTTTGACACGAACAGCTGCTCCTCCTCAAAGTCCTCCTCCATGTACACATCACTCATCGAGTCCCTGCGTGGACGGGGCAACAGAGGGGTCGTGTGGAGCTCACCGTTTGCCGCAAGCGTCCATGCTTCCCATTCCTCGGTTTCCGACCCTGTACTGCCCGGAGATACCGCCGCCGCCACTCGATGGTAGCCGTTGGCCACTGACGACCCCCCGTTCGGCTGCTGTCTGCCCGTGAGGGAGGAGCCGTCGCGGTGTTTCAATGTCCCGTTTTGGAACGGGTTCGAAGACGCCGCCGTTAGGGGGAAATAGCTCACGTCCGACGACGTCGACCTCGCAGGCGGAGTGTCGCTGGCAGGCCGCTTACGAATGCCGACAACCGAGGGTATGCATGTTGCTTCCCATGAACCCGGTGTCTTGACCGAGTGAAGCGCCTCCGTAGCCCTCTCGAACCCAGAGCAAGTGACATGTTCGTCCTCCCCTAGCGCTGGCGGCCGAAGGCAAATGAGACCGTTTGCTGACTCTTCCCCGGGGGCGTATGTATGCATTATGCACTCCTGCGTCTCGGAATCGGTATATACAATCGAAAAATCCGGTACAGTGGGCGAATGGCATCCGCATATCTGCTTCTTCGAGTGGAGAACGCGGAGCGTATGCCCCTTGATTTGCCCCGTCTGAAAAGTGTGGACAAGCGTCCGAGTTGGGATATCGATGAGATCCACTTGAGATGACCGCACCGCCGCCAACATACACAAGGACGGTATCGGATATGTATACTTGATCTTTGAGTGGGTTGGGTCCGGATGCTTCCAATCTTCGACAGCGTCGAGGGTCTCGGACGACCACTCGCCCGATGAAGGAAAAGACAGGTGAACGGCACCGTCCTTGGACACGCTGACAATCTTTGGTTGTCCTTTTATACAGCACGACAGTGCCGCGTTGGCCAGAGCGACTTCAGATATCTGGTGAGTCCAAAGATGACCAGTACGAAAGTCAACCTCGTTAAGACGGCCGTCGGGAAAGACTACCAGAAGGCTCAGCCTCTCAACTTCGTCCATCTGATGGAATGCGAAGGCAAAGACGCTTGGCGATTGACTCCTGATGTCAAGGACCCGAGACTTTACGAACCGCCGCTCCGCCAAGCTCCACAGGGCAACTCGGCCAGAGTCTGTCAGGATTGCGACCCAGTGACCAGTGTCGTCTATTGCGGTTGCAACTATGGGCCAAAGCGGAGGTTGTAGAGCTGAGGTTTGAAGGATTACATGCGAGTACGCATGCGTCCGATGATCGAGGAACCAGATGGAGGTGAGGCGATCCAAGCTAATCGCCACGAAATGCCCCTGGCTGCAAGTCGCCACTTTGACGACATCCAACTCGTGAGATTTTGGCAGGCTCCTCACAGAAAGTGGTTCGTCGTCCCCGATTCCAGATTCCGCATCCTCTTCCGGAAGTTCGTTCCAGAGCAAGTAGTTCATGAGAAGGGTGACGGCCGCAATGGCGAAGACGATCGCCAAGGCAAAGGGGAAAAAGTGCTGTTCTGCCAAATCGCGGAGGGCTATGAGTACAGATGGGACCTGATTGGCAGCTCCTCTGCGGTCTGCATCTTTCATGACGACCGTCAGAGGCTCATAAACACGGGCGATGAAGCTGTGAGAACCTGGCTTGACGAAGTCAATCAGCTCTTTTGCAGAAATGTAATCCTGCATCTTCAGCCATGCCTCCGGGGTGCGGGCCTGGTTGATTGGAGGTGGAGGCACCGGGTCTACGAATTGGTTCCTGAGTCGGAAAAGCCGAAGAATGTTAACAAAAGAGAATGGCCTCCGATCGTGATCGAAGAAGTGCCAATTGAGAGCGAGAATAAAGGAGATCATGGCGACGGTCCCCGCAATTCTGGTGCTGAAAGGAAGCTTGCCCTGAAGAAGTGCCCCACCCCATGTCCGACGTTCCACCTTTGTAGATGTGCTTGACCTGCGCTGCGTAGCGAGATTGATCCTGTCAAGGGAGTCTTGGAGCTCCATTCTCCGAACATCCACGCTCAAGACAGCGACGAAGAACGTAAGATGGAATACGAAATCAAAAACTAGGGCGACTGCTGCGAAAGCGCATGCTGGCGCTACACTTGGAGAGACCATCCGAGAAAGTAACCAAAGAATGAGCAGATTTTGAGCTGCAGCAGCAAGTGCCAGATGGCCAACGTCAGCGAGAGCGTTCGCGACACGAATGACCGTTGGCATGTGTGCTGGACTTTCCAGAACAGCATTGATCAAGCGGAACCTTCCGGTCGTCAGTTTGTTTCAAGTCTCGAGGCCAGTAATAAAAGGCCCAGGGCGCCGCGACCGCAATCAAGGAAAAGAAAGAGAGTGCACGTACATGTTTTCCAAGCCAATGACCAACACGACGAACGGGTAAGCTTCTCCTGGTACGTTGGCCAGGTTTATCCTCAGGATGCCGCATATTGTGAAGCTCGAGCAGATGGAGATGAACATCTGCAATTGTCGCCAATTAGCCCAGTGCAGCGAAATGAGGACAGATAGGTGCATACTTGAGCAATGACTGTGCAAAAGAGTCCGAACACGCTCTTGACAGCCTTCAGCTTCCTCAGACTAAACAACACGTAGAATAGCATGAGGGAGTAGGCCAGGACAAGGGTCCACGCATCGTTCATGCTCATGGGCTGGTACCGAAACTCGTAGAGGCGGTTCCGGTATGTGGACCCGGACACAGGATAGAAATTCCAGCGTTCGGAGGCGTCGAGCGCCAGCCTGCGTGACCGCCTGTCGAATTCTTCGGCGATGGTACCTCCAGAGCGGTCGAAAATGGTAATGACGAGGGCATCGGCGGCAAGGAGACGGGTGCCATTGAAGGACTTGCCAGCAAAGACGGAGAGCGGCTGGAGGGTGAAATTGTAGGACGATCGGCGCCCTCTCTGGGAATTGACCGTGCGCAAGACATCGGCATCGTCCTCGAGGACGGGCAACGAGCAGTTCCAGTACATGAGCGGCGAATGGCAGCTCCAAGCGGTAACCTCGGAGACGTGGTCGCTGCAGCAGCCGGCAAGCTCCTGCGAGCCCTCCGACGGACCATCGGCAGTCGCGTCGTCGTCTCCCGTGATGTTCACACCACCGCCCAGCTCGTGACCGAAGCCAGGCCCAATGAGCGTGTCCTGGATCTCGAGCGCGTCGCGCAGCACGCGCGCATCCAATGCCTTCATATAGCTGCCGTGGACCCAGAGCTGGCGCATCTCGACGTCCGGAGTCGCGTCGAGCGGGCCGTCGTAGGTTCTGACCGAGGTCCAGACATGGTGGGGGAGGCCGCCGGCGGCCGGGCTCTCGTAGAGGAAGACGACGGGGTAGCAGAGGAAGACGGCGACGGCGACGGACAGCAGGAGCGAGAAGAGCCAATGGCGGGCGGTGGCGTTCCCATAGCTGGCGAAAGCCCTACGGATGGGGTGCTCCGACGAGAGCTTGGGGGGCTCTGTGGTACTGGGGCAAGCTGTCAGCTCGGCGGTGGTGCTAGGGGAGCACGAGGCAGGCGCGCGTCGCTGCAGACGAGACAGGCGACGGCGCGGGCTCCGGAGGTCTGTCCGTGGGGGCTGGGGTGGTGGTGAGGGCTACTCACCCGCGGAATGCGTAGAGCAGGTACCAGATCATAGGCGGAGGCGGATTGCATCAGGCACGCAGCATGGGAATCAGAGGAAGGAAGTAAGGGACTGCGGAGGGATGTGGCTGCCATGCGCAGTGGGAGAGTTGAGGCTTCGCGGTGCGGAGGAAGCGATCGACGGCCGGGCAGGAGAGAGGCGCAACAAGCAGCTGGTGCATTGGCTGGCTCAGCTAGTCGCTGGTGAGCTTTGACTCGAGCGATCGTTGCTGGGAAGTGCCGCGGCATGGCGTAACGTCGAACAAGAGATCCGCCATCGCCATCATCATCATCATCATCATCACCGCTGCTCGCGCGCCACCCCCGGCGTGCGCGCGCAGTCGCTTCGATGCGCTCCGCAGGCCGCAGTCTGCAGCACTGCGCGAGGGCGCTGTTGGCGCGCGGTGGGCTCTGTTTCGCCGCATGCGGGCGACTGTGCGCTCGGGCGTGGACCTGGGCCCCGGACTTCTCGAGCGCCCGCCGCCCTTCTTCATCTCTGCGTCACACCCGAGCACCAGCCCAGCCCCGCCGGCGGCGTCGCAAAGCTTGCATGCGCTTGCCGCCGCAGGGCGATGTGCGCCGGGGCGAAATAAGGTGTAACTCCGGTGGCCACATCGCGAGATCGAGCACATGCATGTCACTCGCTCCAAGTCCGCCCGTCCGAAACCAGCGCGCGCAAAACGGATCCATTCGTCACACTAGCGCAGAATTGTCCAAGTGTTCCACCGCGCCTCGAGCGGAACTGGCCCAATTCAGCTCGCGAGGGCACACCAGCAGCTGCCAATGACGCAGTGCGCACCAGGCCGCTGCCCTGCATCGGCTTGCGAGATGCCGCCTCCGCCCCCAGATGTGCCTTTCCGGGCCGTGCGTGCAGCTCTCCCGCGCAACCCAGCGAGGATTCTGAAACACGAGTCATCCGCCCACCAACCCTTGATGATCCGCGGAGCCTCCAGTCGTTGGGCCATTCCAGCTCACGTTCCCTGCATTTCCTCGTCCGAGTCACTCCCGGCTGCGTCCTCCCACTCCTCCGCTTCGTCCTCGCCCTCCACCGGCGGCCCCAGGATCTTGTTGATCCCCGCCACCAGCTCCTCCGCATGGTCCTTCAGACGCTCATCCTCGTATTCCAGCAGCTGGTACAGCCGCAGGCTGTTGGTGAGCCACTGTCTGCTGGATTTCAGCAGCCCCTTGACCATTTCCTCGCCCTCTGATCCCTTCTTCTTTTCCGCCATCAGATGCAGGCACCATCCCCCCAAGTACCAAGCCTCCACACTCTGATCGTCCTCCAGGATTAGCCTTTCCAGCACCTCCAAAGCTTCATCTTCCAGCTCCGACTCCATCAACAGTCTAGACAAACTGATTCGCACGGGGAAGTCGGGGACCTTGGGGTCCTCGGGCTTCAAATCTTTCCACAAGTCCATGCTCATCTTCAATGCGTTGCGTGCCTCGTCGTGCCTGAGTTGTGATATCCTGACCGATGCGAGCGTTTGGAGCGACTCCGGGTTGTTCGGGTGCACGAGTAGTGCTTCGGTGATGAGTGCTTCGCACCTCTGCTCCGCATCCTCCTCCCATCTGCAGCATGTCAGTGTCCATGGCGGCATACAGTAGTAGAAAGCAAAGTCGAGAAAATGCAAGAAAATACTCACGAGAGATCCGTCATGTAAACCTCCACAACGCCGCAAAGCGCATTCGCTAGCTTCCTCTTCTTCTCATCCAGTGCCACGTCCCTTTCAGGACCGGCGGTCTTGAGCGCTTCCAGCTCGGCGATCTCCTTGCGCAGCACCTCGGCACCTTTATCAAACCAAGCCACGCTCTCGGCGCCACCCTCCTCGCACAGCTGCGCCAGCCACATAAACTTCTCTGCACCGCCGCCTGCAGCCTCGGGAATTTTCCCTTCGTCGTCGAGCGCCGCAGCCACCAGGAAGTACTCGCGCGCCGTGTCGATGTCGCCTAGCTCGACGTTGATCTCGCCTAGCAAGTTCAACGCCGGCAGCGCGGCGGGCGTGGGCGCGGTGTTGTCGGGATCGGAGTGCAGCATCGCAAAGGCGCGGCGCGCGGCGACGAGGGCCTCGTCCGGCTGCGAGGTCTGGAGCAGGGCGGTGGCCTGGGCGAGGAGTTGTTCGGCGGTCATCTTGGGCTTCTTGCTGCCGCTGTTCTTGGACTTTTTGCCGTGCGGTTTCGTCTTCCCCATTGTTTGGGTCCCCGGCGGATCTGGAGGCGGAGGATGGGTTTGCGTACGGATTCGCAAGTTCCTTTCCGACGGCCAGCTGTGGGAAGTTGCGTGTATTGTGGTTGCGAGTCTCGTCTCGGATTTCGTGCGCCAGAGCTGGCAGCTGTTTTGCTTGACAAAAAATGGGTGGTCAAAGCGCGACAAAAATTAGCGCCGACGAAGGCGGTGAGCGGACACGGTTCCCCGCTGACATCAACGCCCGCCGCTCGCTCGTCCCCTCGGCCAGCACATCATCCAACCGTATTTCACCATGGGCAGAGAAGACCAGAAGGAAGAGCGCGAGGTGCTCGACTCCATTTTCCCCGATGAGATTACAGGTATTGCCGACCACAGTCATTACTCTTCCTGCGTCTTCGTCTTTCTCATTCCACTGACAATTTTTCGTTGTACCAGACATCTCTGACACAGAGTACCGGATATCGATAACTCTAGATGTTGAGAATGAGCCCGGCGATGACTCTCCTCCGCGTATGCCTCCTCCTCCGCCGTCCTGTTCCTCCCTCCCAGCAGCAACCCCTGCACCTTCGGCAGCGCGCTAACATATAGCACTCGCTCCACGACAGCCACCATCCTCCTCGGCGTTTCATATCCTGAAAATTATCCCGACGAAGCTCCTCGCCTCGACCTCTCCGCGCCGCCCAATGCGCCCAAGCACAAGTATCTCGACCTGACCGAGGATCGCGACCGCCTGCTCGACGCATTGACGCCGACGATCGAGGAAAATATGGGCATGGCCATGGTCTTCACGCTCGTGTCCACCCTTAAAGACTCGGCCGAACTGCTCATCTCCGAGCGCCAGAAGGCCGCCGAGGCGCTGCGCGAGATGGAGATTCGCGAGGCTGAGGAGAAGGAGAACGCAAAGTTCCACGGCACGGCGGTGACGAGAGAGACGTATTTGGAGTGGAGGGACAAGTTCTTCAAGGAAATGGAGGAGGCGGAGAGGAAAGCGCAGGAGGAGAAGGAGGAGGCGGACAAGAAGAAGAGGGGCCCGAAGGAGGAGAAGAGGATGACTGGGCGGGAGTTGTGGTTGAAGGGCTTGGCAGGCAAGGGTGAGGAGGAATATGATGAGGGTGATGTTGCCGATGGCGTCAAGAGGATGGAGATCAAGGCTTGAGGGAGAGTCTCTGGCACGTCGCAGAACGAAGAAGAAGGATTGCATTTTATCTCAAATATAGCCGTCTTTAGAGACGTTTGGCGATACTTTGATCATCAGCGGATCCCTCTCAAGGCCCTTGCATTTCCAGCATGGTTCCCATGGTCTGATGCATCGAATTGGATTATGACAGAGTGAAGTCACTTGGCCATGCGCATAACAGACACTTGTCCCAGGACACCTCTTGCGAGAAACATTGTCGGACAGTGACTCGTCGAAGACGTGTGCTAGATTGAAGCAGTGTGCCATACCACATAGGTGAGAGACTCCATTTATCGCATCGTAGTAGTATGCTGCCAAAAAGGCTATTCGATGGAGTAGAAAACGGGTAGATTCAGCTCCTCTTCGATCAAGATCCTCGGTCTTTTTGCGATTCAGCTAAGCATCTTGGTTAGATCTTTTCTTTACTTAAGTAAAAGTTAAAGGACCGTAACTTACTTGAACGTAGCCGCCTTTACACGGACTAAACGTGGAGAACCAACATTGAGTAGCTGGAGAAAATTTGCAGATAACCATGTGCTCCTTGATGAGTTCTCGAGCCCTTTCCCATCCGAGATCAGCCGCGTAGTCTCGGCGGTCGTATACGAGACCGGACGGATTCGAAGACATTTGGTGTCGTGATTCGTGAACTTTTTCGTGAGGTGGGAGTGGTATAGAGCGGACTCGGCAGGTGAGTGAGCTGGACACAAAGAGCGAAGAAGTGGCAGCGGCGGACAAGAAGCGGTAAAGGAGAAGCAGCGATGGCTATATACACTCCCCTCTGGCGGCTGGTGGCGCGTGAATTGCTTTTTCCCCCATGTATCGCAGGCCTACCAGCCCCCCAAATCAGTGGCCCCTGGCAGGGTTGACGCGTCGCATCATACGAGTGGGGGCATGATTATCATCGAGAGAGACACGCAAAGCATCCATTGCCGGTCATTACTGATAACCTTACCTCTGAGCTAACACTGCCCTTGGACGACCTAAGAAGAAGCGCACAGATCGTCGCGATCGACCGCCAAGTCGTATCTATCGCTGTAGCAATGGTGTTGAGCGGCGGCATAGAGCAGCTTATTGCTAGCAACCGCCTGATCCGCCTGCGACGTTATCTACGGCACCTCTTGCAGCGGAACGCTCCCGCTCTGGTGCTATGATAGGTCAAAATCGTGGGTTTGTGCTCCTTCCCAGGATGATGATAGGTCAGGATCCCAGTTCTGCTCGAAGAAGCAATTCCGCCATCGGCTGCAGGAGGGGGCTGTACAGCGAAGCGAGGTCCTCAGACGCATTTTACGCGTCGGTAACACCCACAGCAGACGCTTCACCTATATTGTGCGACGCTACAGACGCGCGGATAACTCCTCAGTGGAAAGTGAGACCATTCCAGTCATGAGGAAAGCGGCGAGGATGACGCCAGCGAGGTCCGCGAAGAGACCAAGCATGAGGACACTAACGAGGATTCCGGCGGCAGTGAGGACGACTCCAGCAGCGCCGAAGGCATACGCGATCAAGCACGCTAGCAAGGACAACACCAGCGAAGAGAGCAGCAAGGCCCATAGCCAGGTTAGCGAGGGCACAGCCTAGATAAGAGATGACGAGACTCTCAGGCAAGAGGTACGTTATTCACTTCGGAAGCATATAGCTACTGCTTCAACAGCATCCACGCCGTCGTTTTCGCCGCCACGATCCCTTTGAACGCCTACACTTGGGCAGCAGCAGCAGCAGCAGCAGCAGCAGAAACACCAGACGAGTCGCTACCATGAATTCCACTGCGAAGTTTGAACCGCGAACGGCCAGTGATCGGCTACAAAGCTTTAAATGTAACATCAAGCGTACAAGGCGGAGGGCACAGACAGCAGGTTGGGTGGGAAAGCGCCCATCCATCTTTCACAGATAATCTGCGCGAGCTGCCTGTCGGCCTGTTTCCCCGACCGCACGTGAAAAATGCATGGAGACGTAGGGGGCGCAGCGATGCTTCAGGAGTCATAAACTCAACACCACGCCAAGCACCGGA